CTGAGCAGGGAGCCCGATGCGGGGCTCGATCCCAGGACCCTGGGATCATGACCTGGGCTGAAGGCAGCCCCTTAGCCTACTGAGCCACCCAGGTATCCCACAATCTACAGATTTAATGTAATCCCTACCAAAATACCATCAGCATTTTTCACAGAGGTAGAACAAATAATCCTAAAATTTGTGTGGAACCACAAAATACCCTGAATAGCCAAAGCAATCTTGAAAAAGAAAAACAAAACGGAAGGTATCATACTTCCAGATTTCAAGTTATATTACAAAGCTGTAGTGATCAAAACAGTATGGTACTGGCACAAAAATAGACACATAGATCAGTAGAACAGGATAGAAAGCCCAAAAATGAACCCACAATTATATGACCAATTAATCTTCAACAAAGGTGGAAAGAATATCCAATGGGGAAAAGACAGTCTCTTCAACAAATGGTGCTGGGAAAATGGAACAGCCACATGCAGAAGAAGGAAACTGGACCACTTTCTTACACCATAAAAATAAACGCAAAATGGATTAAGGACCTAAATGTGAGACGTGGAACCATCAAAATCCTAGAAGAAAGCACAGGCAGTAACCTCTTTGACATCGACCATAGCAACATTTTTCTAGATATTGTCTCCTGAGGCAAGGGAAACAAAAGTAAAAATAAACTTTTGGGACTACACAAAAATAAAAAGTTTCTGCCCAGCAAAAGAAGCAACTGTACAACTAAAAGTCTACCAAATGGGAGAAGATATTTGCAAATGACATATCTGATAAAGGGTTAGTATCTAAAATATATAAAGAATTGATACTGCTCAGCACCCAAAAGACAAATAATCTAATTCAAAAAATGGGCAGAAGACACGAATAGAAATTTCTCCAAAAAAGACATACAAATGGCCAACAGACACATGAAAAGATGCTCAACATCACTCAACATCAGGGAAATACAAATCAAAACCACAATGAGATCCCACCTCACACCAGTCAGAATGGCTAACATTAACAAGTCAAGAAATGACAGATGTTGGCGAGGATGCAGAGAAAGCAGAACCCTCGTGCCCTGTTGGTGGGAATGCAAACTGGTGCGGCCACTCTGGAAAACAGTGTGCAGGTTCCTCAGAAAGTTAAAAATAGAGCTACCCTGTGACCCAGCAATTTTAGTACTAGGTATTTACCAAAGAATACAAAAATATTAATTCAAAGGGATAATGCAGCCCTGTTTAGGCAGCATTGTCTCCATAGCCAAACTATGGAAGCAGCCAAAGAGCCCACCAATAGATAGATTAAAAAATGGTGTATATATAATATATATATATTATATATATACAATGGAAAATCACTCAGTCGTAAAATAGAATGAAATCTTGCCATTAGCAACGATATGGGTGGATCTAGAGAGTATTATGCTAAGCAAAATAAGTCAAAGAAAGACAAATACCATATAATCTCACTCATGTGAAATTTAAGAAAAAAAAAATGAGCAAAGGGAAAAAAAGAGAGGCAAACCAAGAAATAGACTCTTAAT